TTTAGCGTCAATCCTAAAAAACGGTAACAAAATGACAGCAAAAATGGCAACTTCAAATCCTGCAGACTTTTAAATCCCGTTTCTCCTCCATTTTGTCCTAAATCCCTGTTTTAGTAATTCCTGTGGATTCAGACAAATTGAAGCGCGCCAAGGGGGCGAGAAGCAAGAAAGGAAGGTCGGGGAGCCACGGAGGCGAGATGGACGCTAAATGTTTGAAGGAAGGTCGGCTGCGGGCTTAGGGAGGGTAGCCAAGGAAAATATGGAGCTCAAATGCGGATCGCGGCGTGTAATATAACTTGAAAAAGTTGTTTACAAAAATATATGTAAAACGCGATTTCCAAACACTAGGGCTTAAAAATGCCGCCACACATTTAAGCTGCCCAAACGGGGCCCTTGAATAAGGTCTTATCATCTGCTCCATTCCGTGTTTCTCCGAAAAAAATTAGATAGAAATTCAGCCCCAGAAAATTAGTTATTATGAAAAATTCATAATTTCTTCAGAGCAATTTCCTTCTCAGAAAAGTGTCATCACAAGTGGGGCCCTTGAGCCCCCTCCCTCTTGTTTTCTTTTCAAAAAAATAAAAAACAATTAAAAATGATATGCCTAAATTTAATTTCATTCTTAATTACCCATTTGTTGGTTAAGATCTAAGAAACTTCATTAAAATTTAAAACAGACAAATCTTGAAATTACCATGAAAATGCAAATTCGGTAACAATTAAATTAATTACAATATAGTGCCGATTAGTTTAACTAGAAAATATTAAGTAAAGACAAGTACATTTAGGATGCTAATGCGTGTTAGAAAATTTGCGGCGGTAGAATAATGAATTATCGTCTTAGTATTGCACGAGAATTTAACACGCACGCATGTAAAATAAGAATAATCATAGATGATACCAGAAGTTTTTACGTGGAAAGCTCGTAAAAGAAAAAAACCACTGGGTCTGGTCCAGTTGCGAAAATTTATTATTAATTGATGATTACAAAAATCTCTTGTCCCGCAGACGAGAAAGAGTAACTATATTTTTCAGATTATAAAGTCGAATGACTACGTTTGGTTGGTGATGATTGGTGGTTAGCAGTGGTGACGACATTAGACGACGGTCGGTGGTGGTCGACGGTGGTCGGCGCTTGTCAATGACGATCAACGGTGGCGGACGACGGTCGACAGTGGTCGGCGGTGGTCGACTGTGGTCGATAGTGGTCGACAATAGTCGGTGGTGGTTGACGGAGGTCGGAGGTGACGCTGAGCTGCAGCTGCTCCTCAAGGCCTCAGACCCTCTCTTACTCTAGGCTTAAGCTCTCTCTCATTAGAGAGGTGGGGGCTCTATTTATACTATTCTGGGTGTAATTAATGCAGAAATGTGAATCATTTTAATCGAACAGTTCGGTTAGCTTCCTTCAATTAGACGGTGTTTAATGGACATTTGAATGCCTTAATGATGTTGGATTTGAGTGATATTGGGCTCAGTGGATTCGTCTTGTTGAGAAGCTCAATTAAACTATGAACTTGCCAGATTCGACATCCGCTTGAAATGCCAAATGTATCCGTGAATCTTCCAAAAATGGTTAAATGACTTGATCCGAGGTTGATTTGACTCAGATTGAACTAACTTTGATGTCATTAGGCTTCTCTCATCAATCTGGTCAGTTTGACTATAAGTTTGCAGAAAACGGAGTTCTGGATGACTTTTTATCAAGATTTGAACACTCATGCTCAAGACATGATCTCGAGATCGGCATCATGCCTGGAGATACCGTGCCTGATAATGACAATTTGTTGATGGTGCATCTTAATCATACAATGTTTTTTTATCATACTAAATTTATTCCAATTCGCTCCAATTTATATATAGATTTATTCTTATTGACTAATGATTTTTAGGAAGATTTACAAGCTCAGTACATAATTTTTAGGATTTTATACATCTTGCATTCAAACTTTAATATTTACTTACACAAACCCCAAATTTTAATATCACATAAAAAAATATAACTAATGGTTTTGTTGAAGTAATATTCATCTTTTCCTTCATATTTATGTTTTATATTATAGAAATACATCTTAACATTTAAAGGGGCATTTACATACAATATACTGCCCAATTTTTGTGTATTTGCATATCTAACAATTAAATTTAAATATTTACATGCATAATACTCAAATCATCAATATCATATCAATAATATGACTACCATCTATTTCTAAAATATGAAATACACATTTTCATGCATAAATTTATTCTGCAGTTAGCATTAAACATTATTCATAATCAACCAATGGAACCTAATTTCAATTTCTTATTTACCTCCAAAAATGGTAAATTTGGTTATTAATATTTCAAATGTGATGAATGAAAGATTACATTGAAATAATGAAAATCTGAATATGATCAGTACTTTTTTTTTTTTTTGTTAAAAAAAATTTGAACTTTAAGCAATCAGACAACATTTTACTAATTATATTTAAAATAATAATAATAAGCCTTAATATTATAATAAGGGGCATTTACATACATGTCACCCAACCCAATTATATGTATTTACATCTATATCTTAGGGCTAAAGTTTGGCTTTGATGTGGTATCACATTGGTTCGAAACAAAATAAAGATCTCCCTTGCGCCCCAGTAAGTAAAAGCAACTAATTTTTTTTTTTAAATTTATATCATCCAAATATTTCATATCACACAAAAAATAACAAATTTTAAATGTTTAAAAAGTAGAATACACATTTTCATATACAGAAAATGTGATATATATATATATAAGAAATGACAAGAAGCTATTATAAGAACCTCAAGCCACCTCTAATCTGTCTAACAATTTGAGTACCATCTTCTTAATGCCAAGTGTGCCTGAGGGGATTCAAACCCCGACTTGAGGGGTTTTATACCGTGGGTGCCAACTAACTGACCGGGGTACGCGACACACACACACACAGATATATA